GGAATTCAAATGCAAAGAGGTTAGCACATGCGTACACCCTGTGGACAGCGTCTGCCCTATTGTGAAACATGCAGAGATGAAAAAGATAGTTTCTCACGCACTAAATATTTGGCGAGCAGATGAAGGAATGATGCGAGTCATCAAAAATGCCATTCGGAAAGAAAGAGAAAAAAAACATTCTAACCAACACTTCTAAAACAATTTCTGGAATAGACTCCAGCTCTCCACAGGCAGTGGCAGCACGGGTGTCTTGTCTCTGTCTCTTCCCCTAGCTCCATTTGCACTGGCTTTAGGATGGCATTTTACCGTGGGACTCATCTTCAAATGTGTTATGTAAATTAATGAAAAAGTTGGATTTGACAGATAAGGTAACATCATTAGGAGCATCTTTTTAGGATTTCATCTTTATGAAACAAGGAGTGGTTGTATTTCAGAAGCCTTCCTGTCACAAAGATAGAGAATATAAAATAAATCCTGCTTTTTTTTTAACTTTGTCAATATACGCAAAAATGGAACTATGTCCTATAAATTCTCCAACAGGGAAAAATAATTATACCCCAGTTGAATTTTAAATAATCCTCGATGCTTTGTCTGCTTACACTTACATACATAGGCAATTTTATGCTTTTAAATGCATTTCATTTGCATTATTTTTGAATATACTAAACTAATTATATAATTATTCTGATGCATAGTACCAAGAAAACCTTATTTTTAAGTTCTCAGTTAAAATAGTTGGTTAACACTAGATCGTAGTGTCATTTTTATTTCTAAAGGTGTGTATGTGTATCAAATACTAATTTGATAGGCTGTGAAAATGGAAGCTACAGGGATTTTGTAAAACGTTACAAAACTTGTATAAAGCTCTCAATTTGTAGCTTCTTTCTTTAGTATCTGACAACTTAGGCTGACAAAGTGGTTGTAAATATCTTTTATAGAAATCCCTTTTTAACTTCCCTTTTCCTTGAAAAGACATCCAGCAAAGTAAATGCTTTGAGTGCTGGTTCGATTCACACCACTCCTTACAAACCATATGAATCTGTGAAACTCAGTGTCTTCCTCCAGTACCAGAGGTCAGCAAATACAGCCACAGGCCAAATCTACATTTTAAATATACATTTAAATGTAGTTACATATTTTAATGTTGGGAAAAATAGTCACGATATTTTATCACATGTGAACATTATATGAAATTCAAATTTCAGTGTCCATAATAAAGTTTTATCGGCACACAGCCACGTTCATTTGTCTACATATTGTCTAGGGCTGCTTTTATGCTATAACAGCAGAGTTGAGTAGCTATGATGGGCTACAAGGCCCACAAAGTCTAACATGTTTACTCTCTGGCGCTTTTCAGAAAAGGTTTGCAAAGCCAGTAGTGGGAGGGATAATCACTCAGGTAGCAGTGGAGAGGTTCAAAGCAGACAGTATGATTGAAATGCAATGTGAAAAGAACAACACAGTGGCATCCAGGTGTTCTTCTGGAACTTTGTAGTTGTTTTAAGCTTTCAATGTAATAGTGATGTTAAGGCAGTTATTATACTCAAACAGCAAAAGGAGGCTCCTGCACACTGCTTTTCGGTGTTCCCAGACTACCGCAGCATGGACTCTCGTCTCAGTACAGTAAAGAGGGCCTAAGCCTTCCCCTTTCCCAGCTGCAAGGGCAGCAAATGCTAGGACTGAGGATCAGGTTCTCTGGGGGCCAGTGCCAGCTCTGCCACTTACAGGCAGATAACTTCAGGAGATTGAACTGTTGTCCCCGAGGCAGTCTTCGTCTTGTTAGGTCCATCGCCTCATTCTAGAAACTCAGTCTTTTTTTTTAAAGGTGGTTTTGCAGTGTTGCCCAGGTTAGCTTCAAAATCCTGAGCTCACGTGATCCTCAGCCTCCTGAGTAGTTGAGACTGTAGGCATATGACATGGTGCTTAGCTAGAAACTCAGTCTTTTACTCATTTTCCCGAAGCCAGTTGTTCATTGCCAACTCATGCACACTGAATTCTACTCCACCCCCTGTTTTGGTCCCTGTGAAAGAGCATGGGCTTTGGGGTAGTCACACCTAAGTTCCAATCCCGATCCTGCCATGTATTTATCATGTGAATGACTATAACTCACCTTTGTGCTAGTTTTCTTTTTTATGAAATGTGGATAATGTTCTTGTGAGGATTAAATTAGATGGGTATGAGAGTTCCTGACACACAGAAGTCTCTTGGTGAATGATAATTGAATTGGAACCCCATTTGACCTATGATGCGGTTCCTGGGGGTTGGAGGGTATTGGTTATTGAACAAGACAAAACCCACCTCTGTTTTCTGCCAGAGAGTTGGGAGGAGGCAGAAAGAAAGAAAGAAACGGAGGCAGGAGTCAGATCAACACAGTGGAGACCCTTTATCATTGGTAAAATCTAGTTCGGCAGACAAAGCTTAGGTTTGCAGGCGGGTGGCCTTGCTGATACTCTGCTCCTGAATTAGACACTCACTCAGCCATTAGTGCCACTGAGCAGTCGCAGCCCCTGGAGCACAGACAGCAGGGACAGGCCCCTTTGCAACATAGGAGAGAGAGGAACAGAGCAGAACCTCTGCTGTCTCTAAGTAGGCAAAAGAGAGGAGAGAAAGCTGTGAGGAGTAATGCACACCCCGTGCTTTCTGCCAGGGGGCCAGAGGGAGGAGGCTCTGGGAGGAAGCAAAGTGTCATTCGGGGAAGTTGGTTCCCACAGAAACATGAGGATTAGGGAATAAGCAATCCCCCCGGTAGCCCAGGTTCTGTCCAGATGAAGAAAGGCCACCCTTATTATCTCTCATCAAGTTCTCCCTCCCAAAGGTAGTAGACAGCTTACAGCCTTTCTTTTTCACTCTTCTGCCCTCCCAATGCAATGTGCAGGCCTTGGCCTGCTCCTAGGAACATTTTATGTGGAGTATGATCATGGAATTGAAAGAATATGTGTAGAAATATTGCCTTCAGACCTATGAGGCTTTGTTAGTTTGACACAATTAGGAAGCTGTAATTTTTTCCAGAATGTAGAACTCAGACTTTATTGACGCATTTAATTTTTTTTAATAATGACATTTTACTAGAGCAGAACAGCATGTAACCTAGAGAGCCTCTGGCTAGATCCCCGAGTGATTTTAATTAAAAATAACGTCTCCACTTCTGGTAGATGGACCTTTTCCACAGTACCCTGGCAACAAAACAATCTGGGAGAAAAAACTTTCTTGGTTTCTGTTGTTCTTACTAATAGAATAACCATACTGTCAATTTTCAATTTAGAAGGTTAATGTATATATATAATGTTTCCTAAAGGAACATTACCTTTTAATTGAATAATCAGTTTTATCAAATTAACCTTTAGACCTTTTCAGTTTCACTGAGTTGAGTTTCCATGAAATCAAAATATAGAGTAGGAGGATGTTAATCTAATGTTCTTGGAACTAGTCATTTCTAGGTCTCTTCTGCCTGCAGGGTGCGTATTCACTAAGTTGGTGCCTTTCTGATTCATTTGTCCCTGACCCCGTTAGCCTCTGTTTCCGATGAGAAGGTTCCTAGTAGGGATGAACCTGAGGCTTTGGCCCCTCTGCTTGTTACTCTGGCTCCTCCCCAGAGGGGAGCCATTCATCTGGGATTGGGGGTGGGCTGGGGTTGGGGAGAGGGGATTGAGCTTGCTGGCTTGGCGCTTTTGTCTCGCTGTTGGGTCTTCCCTTGGACGGAGTCCATTTTCTCATGGTTACCATCCCAAGCCTAAGTAACTAACAGAACAAGATCCTAAGGAGCATTGGAATAAGGAACTAATTCCATGTCACTCTTCAAGTTCCATGGAGAGAGGATCGTCTATTCCCTAGGAGGCTGGAGGCTATGGGGTTTCCTTTTCAACTCTCCCTCAGAAAATGTGGAAATGGGGTGGGGGTCGTGGGGCAGGGGTGACTCCAAGGGAGGAGGCGATGCTTATCAGGTGATTGGGAGTGAGGACTCTGTGCTCATCTCACCCCTTTCTTTTTTAGAAGGGCCTGTCCTCAGGGTGGATGTATTCCCTGTTTGTTTGTGCCTGAAGTTTCCTAGAGAAGGCTTTGGGACAGCGATGCCTACCCGTCTTGAGGTGGGGGAAAAAATTGGTTCAGGAGGAACTTACTAGACAGCACAATCGTAGCTGTGTATCAAGCACATTCTCCAACTCATTCATTTGTTCAGTTCATTCAAAAGTATTTGATTACTGATTTATTAATTGATCAGCCTACTAAAAATGCTAGGCATTGCTCTTGATGATGGGGATACAGCAGTGAACAAACAGAAGTCCTTGCGTTTGTGGAACTTACATTTTTACAAGAGGGGGAGACAGGCAAGAAAAGAAATGATTACGCAAAATATATGGAATGTTAGAGTGGGATAAGTATCTTTGTGGGGAAGGAAGAAGGGAAGTGGGATAGAAGATGTCAGGGAAGGGACAGTTTGTAAAGAAGGATTAGGGAAGGCCTCATTCAGAGGGCAACATGGAATAAACACCTAAAAGAAGTAAGGGATCCATTGATGCAGCTATCTGGGGAAAGAACATTCCAGAGGAGGAGACAACCAACACATGGAAAGGTCCTGAGGTGGGAGTGTGCCTGAAATGTTTCGGGAACACCCTCCACCCTCTGATTCGGTCATTGTGTGGTGTGAGACCCCTCAGTAGCTGCCCCATTGCTCTCAAAGCAGAGCCTACATTCTTCATAGCCCAGCTTATGCTGCAGCCCTCGCTCCACGCTCCTTCTCTCTCTCCCTTTCCCCATCTGGCTTACGTCAGTTGGGTCTATTCCGGAGGGTTTTCTACCACACACTCTTCATATGTGTTAGTTCTACTATCTATCTATCTAGATGGTTCTCTCACCTTTTCACCTGGCCTGTTCCTTCTCACCCTTCAAGTCTCAGCTTAAATGTCACTTGATGAGGGAGGCCTTTTCTTCTCTTCCCATCCCACTCAGACTATATTATGTTATCATTTGCTGCTGCCCTTTCCTTTGCTGTCTTTTTTTAGCCATACCATGTCTGAATACGGGAGGATGACAGACACAGAACGAGACCAGATAGACCAGGATGCCCAGATATTCATGAGGACCTGTTCAGAAGCAATTCAACAACTACGAACAGAAGGTAAAGTGCTCTGAAAGATGCAAACGGGCAACCATGAATATAGCAGGTAGTTAAACAGAATTCATATGGTGTGGCCGGTTAAAATTCTCTCTTCTTATGTTGATTTAGGTTTCAGAACATTAAAATCTTTTCTTTCTTATCAGTGTTTTAACCAAAGCTGTTAAAAGTACTGAAAAGGCTGCATCTTTCAAGTTAAACCAGTGGGAGCAGGGAGATGGAAAGGACCTCTCCAAACAGAACCAAAACTTTACCTAGGGGGCAGGGACAGTGAAGACAAATTGTGTGTGTGTGTGCGCGCGCGCGTGTGCACGCCACGTGCGCGTCTGTTTGGTGTGGCAAATTGTATGTGTGTGGGTGTGTATGTGTGTATGCTTATGTGTGCCTCTGTTCTGTGTGGCATTTAGTGGGATAGGGGTTGACAGCAGCCCGGGGTACTTAAGCTCTCTACTTGTAATATTCAAGTAAACTTTCCTATCAAACCTTCAAGGTTAGGAAGGCTCTGGATCCAGGACTGCCTAGGTGGTACCCCAACTCCACCTGTCCGAGTCATATAGCCCTCTGCAAGTCACTTAATCTCCCTGGGCCTTCTTTTTTGTCTATGAAATGCAGACAATTAGGGGATGTATCTCTAGGGTTGTTATGAGAATTAAGTTAAATTCTTACAGCATGCTTAGAACCATATCTGGCACTAGGGTGCTTATTATCTCACTTTCATTGATGTTTAATTCTCACTGAGACAATGAGATGGCTTCCCAAGTCACGCCTCTTTCTTGATTCTTTTTCAATTTGCTTAGGCAGATACAGAGTACATTAAATAGTAAGTAGAGTTCAAAGCTGCCAGATGCTGTTGTGCTCACAACACAGACTTCTGTTTGGGAGGTTTTTATTAGAATGCTGATGGACCACTTGGAGACTCTGATGGAAGCAATAGGCATTCTTGCCAGAAAAATGTACATACACAAAATTCTATATGCAATTTCACAGAGCTCCTGAGTCCCCCACATGAATCTTGGGTTAGGCAGCCCTATAGTAAAGACAGAAATCATGCCCTCTGCCCTTAAGGGCATATATATTCATTGAGAGACCTAAAAAATACACAGGAATATTAACAAAACCTACATTTACATATGAAACCATCTAACCTTGGGCTATTTATTGCCTCTGAACCTTAATTTCTTCATGTGTGAAATGAGAAAACTCGGAATTGCTATTTTAGTTACTAGCAGTACATATGTAAAGTGCTAGCAGAGCACCTGCACACAGTAGGCAGTCAATCTCTCAGTCAGTGGTCACTGTCTTACCAAAACCAGTGGCACAGACTTTAGGTCTGGTAAGGCCTTTTAGCACATTTCTGTGTGGTGGATCCCAGGAGAAAGGCATCTGTGTGGCTAGGAGTCATAGAAGGTTTCCTGGAGACAGAAAGTTTGACTCATTGTCTAAAGGACCCTCAGAATGTGAGTGGCCTGGGGGAGAGGATGGGGCACCAAAGGCTGAAAAGCAGCACAGGTTCAGGCAGGGAGGAGTGTGTGATTTCAATTATTTAAACGTGTTCCCTGAAGGTCAGCTTGAGCATTGGATGCTGTTAACACAGATGGGGGTCAGCATTCAAGAAGTGGCTGCATCAAATACTATCCTTAAGTGTTCTGATAAACCATAAATTATTTGACTATAGTTTTTCTACAGGTTTAATCTTTCACTCTTGTGAAGCCTAATAAATCTTACTCTTCTAAAAATGTAGTGTCTTGACACAAGACTTGTTTTATAGCTGTGTTTTAAAAAATACTCTCAATAAAGAAAGTGTTGTGAGGAAGCTGATGAATTGCTCTTTAGGATAATTGAATGCGAAGACCTGAACATTGTCCTTTTCTGTTACAGCTCACAAGGAGATACATTCCCAGCAAGTGAAGGAACACAGGACTGCTGTTTTGGATTTCATTGAAGATTACTTAAAAAGTATTTCATTTTCTTTTAAAGGTCAAATGTGGCATTTCACAATAGATGTGATGCAGAATTTAGCTTTGCTAGCTGAAGACTGTAGTGTCTCATTATATTTAATGATGCCTTTGCCTGAGAAGCTGTTTTAAGCAGTCTTTCTTCTGGTATTTTCCCCTGCAACAGGAGTCTGTAAACTTTACTCAGAACAGAGAGCCATCCGAGTTAAAAGAGTGGTGGATAAGAAAAGATTGTAAGTATTGCTTTCATTGGTGTTTCTTAATAATAGTACTACTAATAATAGCAGTTAAAGTTTGTAGAGCACTTACCCTATGCAACTTACCATATTTGAACTTCTTCACAAAATGCCATAGCTAGTGCTATGGGCACTCACTGTGTGCCAGGCACCATGCTAGTCACTTTATTAGCCCACAACAAACCCTCATGAGGCAGGTACTGATTCCTCCCTCATTTTACAAATGAGGAAATTGAGACTCAGGAGGCTTGGCCACTCACCCAAGGTCTCACAGTCCCACGGGCTGCGTAGCTGGGGTTTCAGCCCAAGCAGGCTGTTGGTCCAAAATCTGTGCTCTTGCCCATTTTGTCTCTTAATAAACTGATGAGGCTGGCACATTTTGAGCCATTTTACCTCAATCTCTTTGACCCCCATACCCCTTCTTGTTGTCCCTAAAAGTGTATTCCTGAGAGAAGAGCTAGGGCACAGCAAACAGGCCACTGTGAGGCTGTCCTCAGGTCACCTGTGACAGACTTGCTTGATGCCACGTGCTGTGAGTGCTCACCTTCCTCCAACCCCACTACCTGTTCTGTGCAGGCACTCTGAGGAGGCCCATCAGCAGGTAAGGACAGTGACTCTCCAGCAGGGTAAGTGACCCATTCAAGGCCACACAGCCAGGAAGCAGCAGGGCCAGACTACTGTATTTCCCATGGTGCCTGCCTGTCTTCCCCTCTGGGCTCACGTGAGCATCTGGAATGCAAGAGCTGTGTCCTCATGGTTGTTCCCACTGCAGCTCGGCCAGTCTTGGAGATTGAATATATTGGTGAACAAATGTCCAAACCTGGACCATTTCTAGACTAGCTTTGGAAATGTTTTAGGATGTTCTTTCAGAAGATAGCATTACATAACTGTTTGGGGACACATTTATTTATTTATTTATCTATCTATCTATTTATTTATTTATTTATTTATTCATTTTTGAGACAGGGTCTCACCCTATTTCCCAGGCTGGAGTGCAGTGGCATGACCTCCTGGGCTCAAACAATCCTCCCACCTTAGCCATCCAAGTAGCTGGGATTACAGTCATGTGCCACCATGTCTGCCTATTTTTAAATTTTATTTTATAGAGGTGGGATGTCACTATGTTGCCCAGGCTAGTGTCAAACTCCTGGACTCAAGCAATCCTCCTGCCTTGGCTTGCCAAAGTGCTGGATTACAGGCGTGAGCCACCATGCCCGGACCACATTTTTAAAATTCTTACTGTGTCAGGGGTCCCTAGCACTACTCTCTGGTTCTAGGAGTCACTAGGAGGTCTCGTAGGACTCAACATACAGTCCTGCTCCTGTCTATGATTTGTCACACTGAAAGGATACGAAGCAAAACAGCAAAGGAAAAGGCACGTGAGACAAAAGTCCAGAGGAAACCAGGCATGAGCTTCTAAGAGTCCTGTCCCAGTGGAGTCGCACAGCATGTGACCTATGACAGCATGTGAAGTGTTGTCTACCAGGGAAGCTCATTAGTGACTCACTGCCCAAGAATTCTGTTAGGGGTTGGTCACGTAGGCACCTCACACCTGGCATGTACCAAAACTCTAGACTCCCAGGAGGAATGCAGATGTACTGCACTGAACTGCATTAAAACTGCATTTTTTTTTGCAAAACAGTTCAGGCACGGTGACCTGTTTTTATCAATTAGGATGGCATAAATTCTGCCAAAGTCCAACTTCTCAGACACCAGGCAAGGGATAACCTTGCAAGCAGGCCTTTCTAAGGATAGCAGTCTCAGGCCTACTATGTGAACCCTTTTCTGCACATTTGTGAAACAGATTTGAAATTGTCAATGCCAACAAATAGAAGCATTTATGGAAGATAGTAAGCAGATCAGTCAAGTTATCTGTCAGCAATAGCTACTATTATATAATGCACTGAGAGAGTAGATTGAATGAAGCCATAGATTAAGTCTTTGCACTTAGGGAGCTTAGAGGCAGACTGGGTTGCTTTTAAACATGAAAAATTAGCTTAATCAGGATATGTCGTAATTAGCAAAGTTGGTAGTAAGCTCAGAGGGGGAAATGGTATGATCAAGTGGCATAATATGGTGCCTAAGAGCCAGACTCTGCAGCCAGACAGCCTGTGTTTGAATCCTGGCTCTGCCACTTTAAAACTATGTGACTTTGAGCAGATTGCTTAACTTTTCTGTGCTTTTGTTTCCTTACCTATAAAATGGGAAAACTAATAGTACCTAACTTGTAGTGTTGTTGTGAGAACAAAATGAAGATACAGATAAAACACTTACAGTGAGTTAATAAATGTTAATTTGTACTGTTAATATTTTCTACCATTAAGCATTTACCATGTGCCAGGCAGTATATTATTTTATTTCATTAATCCTCAAAAAGCCACCATATCAATAAATATTAGTATTTCATTTTCTGAATTAGGATATTGGGGCTCAGCAAGTTTGGGTTAGCTGTCCAGCATCACAGCTGAATCAAGATTTGAATCTCAGGGTAATTGGAGCAGATTTCTCAAGCAATGGGATTTGTGTTGGCTGTCAAAAGAAAAATATCTGGGTGTGTGAATTAGATAGAAAGCAGTCCAGACCTGGGGAAGAGTTTGAGCTGAACGTCTGGGGCACAGTGAGACCAGTTAGCTGCAAGATGTTATGGAGGAGGAGGTAGGCCTCTGATGATGTGTGATTTGTCATCAAGATGCTGTGGTGGTCACTGGGTCTCACACTCACCTGGGAGAGGAATGCAGATTTCTCCTTCACTATCCCAAGTGGACTTAACAGGTACCCAAGTAAAGGAAGAAGAGATTTTTGCTGCTACCTTAGTTCCTGTTTCTCAGCAGAGGCCTCAACTAAAATACACATTAAAATTGGTCAGATGGGAATTGTTCTCATTTAGACAGCAAAGTATAGCCTTGTCTCCTGCCACATCGTTAGCTGCCCTGTGCCAATTACTTTGTGCAAAAGACCTTGAGGGAAATAATGATGTGACCCTTCACAGTGTAGTTCATTCAACGCCCTCCTTCTTGTCCTTTCCTCGTCTTTAGACACAAGGCATCTGACTAAAATGTACGTGTGATTTTATCACTCCCTTGCTTCCGTGTCTTACAAAGGCTAAACAGCATGGCATTCAAGGTCCGGGATGCCTGGACTACAGCCACAGTAACTCACCACAGTAGTCTGACAACTCCTGAGCTTGTCTATGCTCTGTCCAGCGAAATGAGACCACTGATTAAATGGCAATGTCAGATTGCTATAAATGTTTCTTGATGCTTACTCTTCACTTTTGTACTTACCTTGTAGCAGGCCAGTAACAGACAGTCCATGGTCTGGTTCTGTTCCATGGACCACACTTGGAGTAGCGCTGGGTTAGAAAGTCACCTAGTATGTAGTATATGTCCAGTAAATTGAGTGAGTGACTGAGTAGTGGTAAAGGTGGCGTCACTGAGGTAGTGTGAAACATCTCCTGCTTTTGGGGTTCACGGTACCTGTGCCTGAGTGGATACGTTTGTCTGAAAGCTAGTTTTAAAATTATAGTACCATGATATTATATATCAAAAGGATCTTCTTTCTACCCAGAGCCTTTGTTGGAGGCATAAAAGAAGTACAGGCGTACCTCGGAGATATCACAGGTGTGGTTCCAGACAGCAACAAAGTGAATATCACAATAAAGCAAGTCACAGAAACATTTTGGTTTCCTAGTGCATATAAAAGCTTTGTTTATACTATAAAGTGTGCAATAGCATTATGTCTAAAAAAGTCATGTGCATACCTTAATCAGAACATACTTTATTGCTGAAAATGCTAATGTTTGTCTGAGCCTTAGGTGAGTTGTAATCTTTTTGCTGGTAGAAGGCCTTGCCTCAGTGTTGATGTCTACTGACTGATTTAGGGTGGGGATTGCTGAAGGTTGGGGTGGTTGTAGCAGTTTTTAAAATAAGACAACAATGAAGTTCGCTGCATCAACTGATTCTTCCTTTCACGAAAGATTTCTCTATTGTGTGCAGTGCTGTTTGATAGCATTTTACCCATAGCAGAACTTCTTCAACATTGGGGTCAGTCCTCTCAAACCCTGTTGCCACTTTGTCAACCAAGTTTATTCAATATTCTAAGCCCTTCCTTGTTATTTCAACAGTGTTCACAGTCTCTTCACCAAGAGCAGATTCCATCTCAAGAAACCACTTTCTTGGTTCATCCATAATAAGCAGCTCCTCATCCATTCAAGTGTGATCGTGAGATTGCAGCAGTTCAGCCCCATCTTCAGGCTCCACTTCCAATCTTAGTTCTCTGGCTATTTCCACCACATCTGCAGTAACTTCCTCCGTTGAAGTCTTGAACCCCTCAAAATTATTCATGAGTGTTGGAACCCACTTCTTCCAAACTTCTATTAAAGTTGATATTTTGACCTCCCCCCATGAATCACGAATGTTCTTAATGGCGTCTAAGATGGTGAATCCTTTTCAGAAGGTTTTCAATTTACTTTACCCAGATCTGCCAGAGGAATCACTATCTGTAGCAACTGTAGCCTTGTGAAATGTGAGGTTTTTTTGTTTATTTTGAGTTACGGTCTCACTCTGCCACCCAGGCTGGAGTGCAGTGGCAGTCATGGCTTACTGCAGCCTTGAACTCCTGGGCTCAAGCAGTCCTCCCACCTTAGCCTCTCGAGTAGCTGGAACTACAGGCATGTGCCACCATGCCCAAGATTTTTGGAATGGTAAGTGAGCATTGGCTTCAGCTTAAAATCATCTGCTGCATTAGCCCTTAACAAGCAAGTCAGCCTATTCTTTGAAGCATTGAAGCCAGCCATTGACTTCTCCTCTGTAGCTATGGAAGTCCTAAATGGGATCTACCTCCAATAGAAGGCTGTTTTATGTAAATTGAAAATCTGTTGTTTAGTATAGCCACTTTGATCAATTATCTTAGTTAGATCTTCTGGATAACTTATTGCGGCTTTTGTGTCAGCACTTGCTATTTTACCTTGCACTTTTACATTATGGAATTGACTTTTT